GTATTGAGGGACAGAATCCTTTGCTTTAGACTATGGTACCTTCCAGCCAATTTGAATTGATTTGTCTGTGAAACACATTTCTCTAGGGAGTTTTGATTTTTTCCCATTAGTCTTCATAATAAAACCAGAAATGTGATTTTCTGTAGGATTGTGTTTTAAACCTTTGGGAAGGCCATTCATTCACTCATTAAACAAAGAAGATATAGCAGTGAACAGAACAGACAAAAACTCTTGTCCTCATGGAGATTCCATTCTAACTTATAGAGAGAGACAATAAAATGAACAAGAAATAGGGAGAAGAATAAAGCAGGGAAGAGGGGTAGGGCGTCGGGGTGGGGTGCAGGTTGCTATTTTGGATAGGGTGGTCAAGGAAAAGCTTCACTGAGAAAGTGACATTTGAGCAGAAGGAAGTGCCAGAGTAAGCCATGAGGATTTCTGGGGAGTTGGTCTCCAAAGAAGAGAATCAGTAAGCACAAAGGCCTAGATGGAGGGTTGCTGAGAGTGATCCCAGATCAGCAAGGATCCAGTGTGTTTAGTGCAGAATGTGCAGAAGGGTGGGGGCAGGGAGGAAGGTACGCTGCAGTAGGGCTGATCATGGAGGGCCTTGCCAGCCATTCTAAGGACATTGGTTTTTTTCTCTGATGGTTATGGGAGTCATTGGAGTATCTTAAGCAGAGGAATGATATGATTGATTATAGTGTTTTAACAAGAGCACTGTGGCTGCTGTCATGAGAATAGATGAGAGGGGCAAGTGTGGAAGCCAAGAGACCTGTTAGGAGGCTCCTACAAGAATCCAGGTGAAAGGTGGTGGTAGCTTTGAGCAGGGTGATGGCAAAATGATAGAAGTGATAACGAATGTCTGAGTCAGGGGTCAGCAAACTTTTTTCTGTAAAGGGCCATATAGTAAATAATTTATGCTTTTGTGGGCCAGCTATTCAGCTCTGCCAGTGTAGTGTAAAAGCAATCAGCGATGACATAGAAATTAATGAATATAGCTGTGTCCAATAAAAATTTACAAAAACAGGCAGAAGACCAGATTTGGTCCATGGGCCATAATTTGTCAACCCTTGGTACATCCCAGGACTTGTCTTTATGCTAGGACCTTTTCTTCTTCTTTCTTTCTGAGACTGTAGGACTTTTATTCCATGAATCCCTTTTGTTTCTATAGCCATAGTATGCAATAGGGACAGGCTATAATGTTATATATACTTTACTACTAGGTTGGTTTAGCCAGAAACCAACTAAATTCTAAATTTCAAGATTTAAGTTCTATGGCTTATTATTTTTTAATTCACTTGTGTGAAGAGAATTACATCAAAATTACTGCAGATGTGAAGGTGTATATTCAACAGAGTGGCAGAAAAAGAGGAAATTTGCAGTAGGAGAGTTTTAGATTGCATATAAGTAATACTTTTTTGATGTTAAAGATTGTTAAATAATTTACGCAAGATAGTTCATGGGATAACTATTAAAATATATTAGTTTTCTTTTGTTTTTGTTTTTAAAGGTTATTTATTTAATTTGGGAGTAATTTATTTGCATTTTATAGTCTAAGAACAAAGGCATAAAGATAGCACTGAGTTGGTCGGGCACGGTGGCTCATGCCTGTAGTCCTAGCACTCTAGGAGGCTGAGGCAGGTGCATCAGTTGAGCTCTGGAGATTGAACCAGCCTAAGTGAAAGCGAGACCCTGTCTCTACGAAAAAATAGAAAAAATTAGCCGGGCATGGTGGTGCATGCCTGTAGTCCCAGATACTTAGGAGGCTGAGGCAGGAGGATTGCTTGAGCCCAAGAGTTTGAGGTTGTTGTGAGCTATGATGACGCCACTGCACTCTAGCTGGGGCAACAGAGTGAGACTCTGTTTCAATAAATAAATAAAGATAACACTGAGTGTCCTTTTGCCCATTGATTTATAATTATCTGTTGATGGGTCTTTTTTTTTGGTTGGGTTAGGGGACAGGATTAGTAGTGTACTTCCAAAGACTTGTCACTGATATATAGAAGATCCTTATAACTGTCTTAAAAACATTGAGTGATAGTTACAGATGGGGAGTAGCAAAAGTTTACTTAAGGCAAAATTTAAAAAATCAAGATTTTTATCCTTCAAAAAAAGAGTCTCTTTATGCTATGTTGTCTCATGTCATTTGTGAGAAATTAATCCTTTAAGATCTGCGGTCCTCACCCCCCAGGCCGCAGCCCAGTACCAATCCGTGGTCTGTTAGGAAACGGGCAGTGCATCACCACCTGAGCTCTGCACCACACCCCAGTCAACCCACAGAACCCCCACCCCCACCCCCGATCCATGGAAAAATTGTCTTCCATAAAACCAGTCCCTGATGCCAAAAAGGTTGGGGGCCACTGTTTAAGATGACTCTAATATAATTGAGTTTATTACTATATATTGTCTAGTCAATTGAATATCTGTCAGTTGATAGAGTCTAGATATACTGATACCAATAATAAAGTTCTCAATGACTATAAAGACTAACTATTTTGATCTGGGCTTCTACTTGTGGCCTTGTTATTTTAAGGACCATAAAAGATTCAGTGATGTTTGGAACCTTAGACCCTGTTCTGTACTTCTGGAAAAAGAACCATTGTAAACTTGCTTTGGATTGCATATTAACCTCCCTTTTTCCTCTATTCAGCTCCCCACCCCACCCCACATCTATAGTTTTTCTGGAAAAAGCCAAGTATGAGTATCCCTAGATGTTATCTCAGGCTCAAGGAGATTGTCCCCAGGAATCTATTTGAGGGGAGGATGGGATGTGTAGGGATATGTCAGAGCTGATAACTTCCCACTCAGGGACAAGGGTTCTCCTTCCACAAGAGGACATTGTGTGATCTGTGTGGAAACATTTCCAGGGCACTGAGAAGAGTTGGGCTATTGTGTTGCATTTTAGTAGGGCTGTTTTCCTGGGGATCTCAAGGTTTCTGCTAAAACGACACAACAGAATCATAGCTTCAAGGTACTATGATGAAACATCACCAGGGATGATGTTCCTACCCACTGATACAGGTAGGAAACTGTGGAACAAAGGTATCCTCCTTGTGTCACATGGCTTAGTAAATGGTGGTGGTAGCGTTAGAATTATGGAGAGTCAGTGCCAGAAAGGATTTAGAGAGTCTGTATGTTCAGGGTTCCCAGCCTTTGCATAGAAGACCTGCTACGGAATTATTGCAGAGACTCTGCAAATTCATATGTGCACCAACTGTTGTTTGTAGACTAAATAATATCTAACATCTGTGTACCATTACTTTAAAAATGAATGTTGACTCCACTGAGATTAATAAATTGGAATTTTATTTTCAACTGTCACTGCATCCAAAGTATCTTTTTGTCATTATACTTTTTTTTTATTTCAGCATATTATGGGGGTACAAATGTTAAGGTTACCTATATTGCCCATGTCCTCCCTACCCCCTCCCACCCACCCAACACCCAATAAATGTTATTCCTATATGTCCACTTAAGTGTTGATCCGTTAATACCAATTTGCTGGTGAGTACATGTGGTGCTTGTTTTTCCATTCTTAAGATACATCACTTAGTAGAACGGGTTCCAGCTCTATCCAGGAAAATACAAGAGGTGCTATATCACCATTGTTTCTTAAAGCTGAATAGTACTCCATGGCATACATATGCCACATTTTATTAATCTATTCATGTATTGATGGGCACCTGGGTTGTTTCCACACCTTTGTGATTGTGAACTGTGCTGCTATAAACATTCTAGTACAGGTGTCCCATTTGTAGAGTGTCATTTGATCTTTTGGGTAGATGCCCAGTAATGGAATTACTGGATCAAATATACTTTCTCATTATACAGATTCTTAAAGTATATCTGCTGTTAGTTGATTAGACTCAGAGAGGTGTTGGCTGTGTCAAAGTGTCCCTCATGCTCAGAAAGATTGGCAAGTGCAGATCTAGTCCAACCCTCCCACTTACTTTATAGTCTAGGAGACTGAAGTCCAGAGGAGTTCCCTTTTCCCTTACCACTTTAGGGTTGTAAATTGGAGGAGGGGGGAGAGGGGGTAAAAAACCCACAACTAATGGAAGTGTAGCACATTGTATGTGGGAAGGGCACACTTGTAGCCCTGGCTTGGGCAAGGCAAATGCATTACATGTAACCAGAATGTTTGTACCCTCATAATATCCTGGATTAAAAAAAAAAAAACAACTGTAAAATAAAGTAGGGACTAGATCCTGATTCTTTTGGACCCAGAATTGAGTAGTTCTCTCTCTCTCTCTTTCTTTTTTTAAAGTATGTCAAATTACTAATTCTCATTAATCCCAAACATCCCTATGAATTAGGAAAATTCACAAAATATATTCCTTCACTCAATATAAGTGAAGGTTATATAATAATGCAGCATGAAGTAAGCAAGCAATAGCTGCACTATGTGACAAATGATGGTGCCTGGGTTTACTTTACAGAAGGCTGAACATTTTTCCAGCCCAGCGGCCACCTTATCATAGAGCAAATCACTGGTTCACACAGACAGCATCTAAACAGGCTTGACAGGTGCTCGCTCCGTTATAATTCATACGCAGATTTTGCAGACACACTGTCCAACCAGCCACACAGAATTGCATGTCACTTTTGGATAGAAGATACAACACAAAAATAAAGTACTTTGATTTGTTTGTGAGGGCTGAGGGCAGACACCAACATCTGTTAACCAAATGGTGGTGGTGTACAAAATGCATCTCCTGTTTATGTTTGTGTGTATGTTTTCCTTTTGAACAATTTTTTTTTGTTTCCTTTGGGAAGGCCTGATATTAAGAAATCACAATGTAGTTGTTGCTCACAGACACACACACAAAACTTTCCTTCATGCTGTTATTCACACAAAACTTAACTCCTAGTTTGTTGAGCAAGAAGAGCTTGCATCTGTGCATAGGATATAAGAGTATGCTTGCTCAGTTGGGTCAGTAACACCTTTACTATTGTTACCTTCTTTTGTAAATGAAATAAATCTCTGGCTTACTGTAAAAACTTTGAACAAAGATCCAGGCCATTGTGGCATTAGGAACCAGGATTGCCTTCTATTCAATTTTCCAGGTGTCTCTGTCTCTGTCTCTCTCTCTCTCTCTCTAATACACACTCTCACCTTTTCCCCATATAGTTCTAAAACTCATGAAATAATTAGTGTGTAATACCTTACACATAGGAACTATTTAATGTTAAATGATTCACTGGAAGAAGTGCACATACTACTTTGTGTGATGGCTTTAATTAAGTCATTTATTTTCTTAAGACTATCTTGATAATTTTTTTCTTTATTGATAGCAAAATGGAAAAGATTTGTGCTTCTTCAGTCCTTAAACTTTTATGCTACTTTCCTATGTTTGTTGAGGCTGAAAAGAATAAATAATGGTATTTAAATTATGAGTGACTGTAACCTATTTATATTGAGAAATAAGTCTTTGAAGAGGTTAAAAATAGCATAAAGGCAAGTGTATAAGATGCTTGTCAGCTAAAAAAGACCCACCCAGTTTAGAGTAACATTAATATATTAAAACTCTATTTCTTATCAGAGCATATTTATATCAGAACAAAACTCCAGCCATGAATTCATCTGCCTGCAGACAGCCGTACACCTGAACCCCAGATGGATGTTTGTGTTTGGGTCTGTTTCTAGGTGGAATGATCTCATGGTCTCCCTTACCGCAGTATTGTGCAACACTGACACACACCTGTGTTTTGATCTTTCAAATCTGTCGTGGTAACATACCAAGTAATTTTTAAATAGCTCCATGGATGATCCAGAATGCACGTCTGCCAAAATCATCGCTGGGCACAGTTTTGGACCTGACTTGGATTCCTGTGATAAACTTTAGTCATATTGAAAATATATTAGGTCTCAGGTTCTAGTTTTTTTCCTGAGACTTGCATTTTGGTGTAGAACTAATCCCCTGGGCAAGAGTTGATGCATGAAGTCTTCCTAGTTATTATTTAAGGAGAGTGGGATGAACCACTTGGAAAATAAAGCAAATTACCTGCATCGCCACATTTATTTTATTGCACAAATATTTGAAGTATTGCTTCAAATATGTTTTGCCCATTTAAAAACACCTTTTCAGAAAAATTATTTTAAAATGTGACAGTTTAAAGTGCTTGCTAAAAGAGTTGGTCTTAACGTGTAATATCACTGATTGCTTTCTTAAAAAGCTGGTAAATACCCAAATTACAAAGTATTGAGGTAGGATTTAGTCTGGGAGAGAGTAAAGAGGACTGAAAGAGAGTTGAAGATGTGGCTCCCTTATTTTAAAAGACAGTGACACATGAATGCAAGTTAGTGCTTTTCTGTCATGCTTGAAGATTCGTGGTTAATTCCTACCACCATATTATCAGGGTAAAATGTTGATGCAGTAAGTTTTTTTCTAACGTATTTATTTTAACTTTTTTATGAGTAATTTTTAAAAACATATCAAAGTAGAGTAGTGTAATGAACCTCAGGTACCCATCACCCTACTTCTTTTATCTGTGGTCAGTCTCGTGCCCTACTCACTTCGCAGGCCCCATCTCCTCTACTGGGTTGTTTTGAAGCAAATCCAAAAATACATAGTAAGAATGTTTGTCTTTATGGGGATATTTCAGAGGATATTACTGTCGCACACATAGATAGCCCAAGAGATATGAGAACTATATCCTATAGAAGGAAACAATGGAGGGGAAGAGAAGTGAGGCAAGGCAAACTGAAACCACACACCAAAGAAGAGTGTGGCCTATGCCTTTATCCTGTACTATCCACTGTAACTTCATGGACCACAAGGGTTTCAACTTTCAACAATGTGGGGTAGGTTTCTGATTGCGCATGTCACTGCGGCTGTGGCGTGAGTCCTGATTGCTGTTTTCTGTCACGTCTACTATTCACCAATCTCTCATGAGCACCTCTGCAACTCAGCCTGAATCTTCCCTATGACAGTGGCGGTGGGTGGTGGGGGAGGTAGTAAGCACCTAGGAGACTGTAGAGTAGCTGCAGGACCGGGCATCTTGAGGGCAGGAGCCAGGCCTGTTCTGGGTGTCACTGTGATAGCTTGCAGTGCCTGGCACTTACCTGTTGAATGAGTGGATTCCTTTATCTGTAGAACTCTCCCTTTAGTAAGTGGAGGAGGAGTTGTAGAGCTCTTTTCACAAATCCCCACCAGAGTGCTTTAAAGACAAAACAGAGTCACATAAACAATTAATGGGATTCTTTGTGCTTTCAGTCTTTTGGTGTAAAATTTATCTAGCTAGCTAGCTGAAATCTTTAAAAACTATCTGGTAGTGGCATCTGGCTTTTACCAATAGAATTGAAGCACACTCACACAATATAGTCATGACCATTCTTTTATTAATATACCAGAACCTTTGGGATTATTTTTTAAAGATGCTTCTCTACTACTTTTGTAATTTAAAAGGACATGACTTTTTTTTTTGGTCCTAGCCCAGGCAGTAGACATGTATGAATTCTTCGGGGTCAAACTCAAGTGTGAAGTTTTAATGTTTGAACTAGGTAGACTCTGAGACTCTTTTTTTTTTTTTTTTTTTGAGATGTGTGCCACTGCATGATCCATACCACATTGCCTGCCTCAGAGGTTTGTTCCTGATGCCTCCACACTGTCTTTTCTGGGCATATACCATTTTCTCCATTCTGCCTACACATTCATCTATATGACTGTGGCATAATGTCCCAACCTTCTAACTGGCTCACCACTTAAAAACACTGTTGATGACTCCTTAAACTGACGTATATTCTTTGTAATGAGTATGTTTGAAACTGATTTACTATGGGGAAAATAAAAACTACATTTTAGGGCTTGAAAACAAGTTGGTTACATTCTTAAACTATACTGAGAGGAAGATAGGGCCAGAATCCAATAGTGATGGACTTGAAATTACTGAAAATAATTCTTGGATATCAGAGCGTAGAATTTGGCCTATGTCTTGTAAATAGCTGCCTGTATCTTGTAAACATACTCAATCAGATGCTAAGAGATAATTTGTCAGAATTGCACATGCCAGAGACTAATATGGAAAGTGGATAGAAGCCATTTTGGAACTAGGCTTCCCCAACAACAGGCCCTGGGGCCCTTGGGTCTCTGCCACCTATATACATAGGAGATGGTTTCTTCAGTGCTTTCCTTCCTTGTGAACTCCCTAGGGACAACAAAACAAATGCACAGTTCCTTAAAACCAGCTGGTCCCTAGGCCATAGTTGAACACAACAGATACATATGTAATATTTATTTTTTATGTGCTTAATTGTAAGTTAGTATTGAACACAGACTAGTTTCAGACAAAGTTTTGTTTGCTGAACTTTATGAGTCCCTGCATTAAAAAAGGATTTATCTCTTGTTTGCCTATCAATATTCCAAGCATAATAGATTTACAAATAAGTATAAATTAGAGTTTTTACTCCTATGAAGCTTGTAATTTAGTTGGGAAGATGAGAAATGTACAAGAAAGAAAGAACCCAGAAGCATATACAGCATATATAACCAAGTGGTTTTTTTGTTTTGTTTTGAGACAGAGTCTCTATCTGTTGCCTGGGCTAGAATGCTGTAGTGTCAGCCTAGCTCACAGTGACCTCAAACTCCTGGGTTCAAATGATCTTTTTGTCTCACCCTTCCGAATAGCTGGGACTACAGATGCTTGCCACCATGCCTAGCTAATTTGTTGTTTCCATATTTAGTTGCCCCGCTAATTTTTTCTATTTAGTAGCTCAGGCTGGTTTCAAACTCCTGAGTTCAAGTGATCCTCCTGCCTCAGCCTCCCAGAGTGCCAGGATTATAGGTGTGAGCCACCGAGCCCAGCCTAACAAGGTGTTTCAGTTGTGTGATGCAATTGGAGTAAATGATACTGATTAAGTAATACTGGCAGTGAGAACAAACTGGGAGACATCAGCATGGGCTAGAATCTTCAGATCCTGGCACATGGTCATTGCACAGAAAATATTTGTTGAGCAGAAAATGGGAGATTACAGATAGAATAGAAGGACAAGTTTATATCCTTCCTTTGAAAAAGGATTATTTTTGTTAAACACCACTTACAATAGCATCAAAAATATGAAGTAGGGATAAATTTGACAAATAACATACAAAATCTAAATGCTAAAAACTGCAAAAGAGAAATCAAAGAAGACCTAAATAAATGGAAAAATATATTGTCCATGGACCAGAAAGCTCAATATTAAGACATTGATTCTTCCCAAATTAATCCTTGATCTATGGATTCAAGTAGTCAAAAATCTTAGCAGACTTTACTGTAGGAATTGACAAACTAATTGTAAAATGTATATATAAATGCCAAGGACCAAGATTAGCCAAAATAGTTTTTAAAAATAAGAGCGAAGTTGGAGGAAGGACTTAAACTATCTGATTTCAAGACTTACTATAAAGATACAGTAAGCAAAGAAGTATGGTATTGGCTCAAAGAGAGAAAAAAAAGACAAAACAGAATAATGACTCCAGAAATAAACCCACACATATATGGACAATTAATTTTTGACAAAGATACCAAAGTAGTTCAGTAGAGAAAGGATAATCATTTCAACACATGATACTGGAACAATTTGGTAGCTATAACCAAAAAGTTGAGCCTCAATTCTTTCCCCATACAATATACAGCATTAATTCAAAATGGAATTGTAGACCTAAATGTAAGAGCTAAAATTATAGAACATTGTCTTTGTCCATTTGGACTGTTACAACAAAATCCATAGACTGGGTAGCTTATGGAACAACAGAACTTTATTTCCTACCATTTTGGAGACTAGAAAGTCCAAGTTCAAGCACCAGTAAATTGGGTATCTGATGAGGGCCTACTTCCTTCATAAATGAACATCTCACTAACCTCACATAGCAAAGGGGCTTGATCTCTTTCAAAAGGGTACTAATCCCATGAGGGCAGAGCCCTCATGATCTAATCACCTCTCAAAGGCCCCACTTTCCAATACCATCACCTTGTGGGTTAGGATTTTAACTTATGAATTTTTGGAGACACAAATATTCAAGCCATAATAAATATCTAGAAGAAAACATGGAGAAATAATCCTGTTGACTTTGGGCTTAGCAAAGATTTCTTAAGTATTACACACAAAAGAGCATGAAATACAAAAGAAAAGTCAATAAATTGGACTTCATCAAAATAAAAAGGTTTGCTCTTCAAAAGCACTGTTATAAAAGCAAAACAGCAAGCTAATAGACTGGAGACAAAAAATTGCAAAACATATATATATATATATATCTGACAAAGAACTTTTATCCACAGTATACAAAGAACTCTTACAACTTATGCATAAGAAGACAAACAGCTCAATAAAATTTAGGCAAAAGATTTGAACACATACACAATCATTAGGAAAATGCACATTAAAACTACAAAGATAATACTATACACCCACTAGAATGGCTAAAATTTAAAAGACTGACCAAAATAGGTGTTGGCAAGGATGTATTAATAGAAGAACTGGAACTTTTATGAGAATATAAAATGCTCCATCTACCTTGAAAAATAGTATTTTACAAAGTTAAGCATACACCTGCCATATGACCCAGCCATTCTATTCCAGGTACTTAGTCAAGAGAAATGAAAGTATATGTCCACACAAAGACTTGCATATGAATGCTCATAATAGCTTTATTTATAATAGCCAAAAGGTGTAAACAACCCAAATGTCCATCAATGAGGAATTGATAAACAAACTGTGGTATATCCATATAATGGACTACTACTCAACAATAAAAATGAATATGCTATTGATACACACAACAAAATGGATGAATCTGAAAATAATTATGCTGAGTGAAAGAAACTAGACAAAGAAGAGTACATGCTGCATGATCCTGCACGATGCCATTTATATAAAATTCTAGAGAATGCAAACTAATCTGTAATGACAGAAAGCAGATCAGTGGTTGCCTGGGGACACGAGCTGTGTAGTTGTGGGAGGGAGAGATTATAAAAGAGTAAGAGAAGTCTTTTGGAGATGCTGGATATGTTCATTATCCTGATTGTGGTGATGGTTTCTTGGGTGTATACATATGTCAAAAGTCATTAAAATTGTTTTTTTGAAAATGTGCAGTCTACTGTACATTGGTTATTCCCCAAAGCTATAAAAAAAGAAAAAAATAAATAACTGAATGCCTAAATGGTAATTTTCGTTTGCATGATGACAGAAATAAAAGAGCTGTTTTCCACACGAATTCAGTGTCCCATTGATGCTGGGAAGAGATTGTATGTTAAGCCAGGTGGAGAAGCTAAAACAGTGACAATTTGTGGGTCTTTGTCAATTTGACTGGGTTTATAGCTCCTGTTTTTATCCTAAGTTTGCATTTGTACAAGAAAACTGTTCTTGAGCAGTAGTTCTATTTAGGGTACCCATGAGAATAAATTGGGCACATTATAAAATTATTAATGCATTGAGATTAGATTTTAGTTTGTTTAAGGTAGAGGCAAATACCATGCACTCTTTAGCCCCTGTTCCTCAGGTAGTAGGCAAGGTGCTGGATTTATTATGCACTGTGCTAAGTGAGCCCAACTCAACCCTCACCAGTGGTCTAAAAGCCTGCTGCAGGCCTCTTAACAAACATGTGATCTTGGCAAGTCGTGTCAATGAGCCTCACTTTCCTCATCTGTAAAATGAGAGTAATAATAGTAATACCTGTCTCGCCTGCCTCCCAGAATTGATACAAGAGTCATACAACCACTCTTTAAAAGCTATAAAGGCATATTATTTCTGTTGTTATCCTGCCTGGGATCTCAGAGTTTGCTTATCTATTGCTCAAGAAAACCAAAGGTACGTAATCTTTGCAATTTACAAGAAGGAATAGTAGGCTATGTCATGATATAACTTCTATGTAGAAACAGGTGATGTCACTAAAACTCATGACATTATTGCCATGAACACACACCACTTTGCTCCTTCAAAAATAGTTTTCTGTCTCTCTTCTCTTTTCTCTTCCCTCCTTTGCTTTCTCATTTTGCTTCATTCATTCAGTCAATAGATATTTGTGGAGCACCTGCCAGGTGTCAGGTCCTGTAGGTAATAGATGTAAACCAAGACAGATGAGTCAATGCCTCTGAGAAGCCGACATTCCGCCCGGGGGTGGGGGGGTGGGGGGGGTGGTTGTGGTACAGTTTGACAAGTGCTGAGAGAGGAAAAGTATGAGAGTCTCTGGAGCACCTGTGAGGACCCTGACCCAGATTTGGAGAGTGGGGGAAGGACATCTGAGGATATATGAGGGTTAGCCATCCAGAGAATGGGCAAGAGTGTTCCAGTCAAAGAGAACTGCATGTGCAAAAGGAATGGAAGAGGGTTAGTGTGGCTAGAGACAGGAGCGTGAAGTCAGGTCAGTGAGAGAAGAGTGGGGACAGATGGTGTTGGGGCCTTGTAGGCCATGGTAAGAGCAGCAGGGAGCCATGTGGGAGTTTTAAGCAGGAAATAGACATGATTGACTCACCAATTCACTGTCTCTGCAAGGACTCCTGCTCACAGCTCCTGAAATTCCTCATGAAGCCCTGTTGGTAGTCCTCAGAATTTAGAAGGTTGCTGACCTCTTTCTAGGTGATTTTCTTAGATAGAACTTAGCTTATAATGACCAAACTGACTTTGCTTACATTGTTTTCTGCCAAGAAAATAGAAACCTCTCTAAATAAACAATGACTGTTACTTGTTAGTGAAACCATAATTTTCAGTGTTTCCCTCACAATTTGTTGTATGGTTGCAACACATACCTTTTAAATGGGAATCCCATACCAGAGAGAAAACTGTGCTCTAGCAAAGACCAGAAAGACTTGAATACAGGGAGAACTCTCTCAGGTCAAATGCAATGACATTTTTTTAACAGTGGGATAATTAATTTCTATTTTCATTTTTCCAAATGCTACATTGGCATTTAAAAAAAAAAAAACTTGGGGAAGGTGTGCTAACTTTTACAGGCCACAAAGACACTATTAAGAATGTATCTGCAACTTTTGTTTGTTTGTGCTTGTGTTGGTCATTCCTTTATCTTTCTATTTTATAGCTTTAAGTTTCTTTGGAAAGGGTCTCTTACTGCACTTTTCAAATTCCTTGGTCTTTTTTTGTTAGCAATTCTTTACTTTGTTTTTTTTAGACTTTTTCCTAGGTATCAGGATATGTTCTTGTTGGTTTGCTTTTATGTTCCGTTTTCTATTTGGGCGGTGAATTCCTGTTCTTTGAGCTTTTCCGTGGTTGTGGTGTTTTCTTTGGGTTTCTGCATCTGATGGTTTGTTTTGTTTCGGTTACTCTTTTTTGTTTGCTTTGGTTTTGGGCATCTCTCTTTCGAGCTATGGTCTTCTTGTGTTTTTGAGTATTTTTGTTGGCCACTGTGTTGTTTTCTGTTTTGCTCTCTTTTTTCTTCTGGTCGTGTGCCTGCTGTCTTTTTCCAGGTGCTTTTCCTTTGCCATTACGTTCATTTTTCCCCAGCCATGCTTTTGGTTTTTGGCTGGTATTATATTTCCGGGTTGACCCTAGTATTTTTTTTCTGTATGATTGTGTGGTGTTCCTGTCTGCCCTGTCTGTCTCTATCTTTTGGTGCGCCTGATTGGCTGGTAACTTTTTGCTTTCTTGGTATGACTTCGTGCTTTTGTTTCTGTGGGCTCTCATCTTTTTCCTCTTTGACCTGTGGTGTCTGGTGCATTTTTTTTCGTGCTATATAAGTTAGTATCAGTTTCCTCCATGATTAGGCTCTTGTTTTTCTTGTGGTCGTTTGTATTGACTCGACTTTTTGTTCTTTTTCTCCATGAGGGTTGTGTGTGTGTGTGTGTGTGTGTGTGTGTGTGTGTGTGTGTGTTTATTTTCAGGTGAAGCATGGCATTTAGAACATTTCCAACACAAGCACAAACAAACAAAAGTTGCAGATACATTCTTAATAGTGTCTTTGTGGCCTGTAAAAGTTAGCACACCTTCCCCAAGTTTTTTTTTTTTTAAATGCCAATGTAGCATTTGGAAAAATGAAAATAGAAATTAATTATCCCACTGTTAAAAAAATGTCATTGCATTTGACCTGAGAGAGTTCTCCCTGTATTCAAGTCTTTCTGGTCTTTGCTAGAGCACAGTTTTGCCATGCCACATGGCATTTGGCATTTGGGTCTCTGGTTAAAGTGTCCACTCTACCATTAACGTGACATGTGGCTATGAGCTTGTCACTGACTCTTTTGTTCTACCTTACTCGGTTTCTTCATCTCTGAAGTAGCACACCAGTTTACCAGTGAAAATGCAGTCTCTAGGAGGACGGGAGACTATTTTATACTTCTGAGAAACAAAGTCACGTTTAGAGAGAAGACATTCTTTTGAGTCACTTTGAGTCTTGGTTCAAAGCATAGCTTCAGTGCTTGTGGATATATGTCCTTGACTGATTATTTAGCCCCTCTGAGCTTTTCCCTTTAGCTGTAAATATGCAGCTATGCAGCTAATTATACTTAACTTACTAAGTTTATAGACAAAGTAAAAGAAATAGTATATGTGAAATCATTAAAGAGAGGACTTTGTGCTTTGCAAGTCCTCAGAAATGTTAGCTTCTCTCCCTTTTATAAGTACCAAAAATGCTAAAAAAAAAAAAATTAATATGGCACATTAACTTAGAACATTTCCTCTTTACAAGTATCTATTAATAGCTGTCCTACCCTTAAACCTACATGAGAGGTGGAAATGAGGTAAAAGGGATGAAATAGATAAAGTGCTGTTTTTGTTAGAAGGAATCAAGGAATTGTTTCTACTGTGTAGCCATAGTTGAGAACACTAGTAACCAAACCTCATTCTATATAGAATGTAGAATCACTTGGGGAACTTTCTGAAAAATACATGCTCGAACTTCTGTTTCTCCTAGTATGTACAATTAACTACTTCCTAAATTACCCTCCGCCTAAAAATCCTGGAAATGAAATAAGATAAAACAGAAACTAAAAGTAACATAACCTTAGAGGCCAGGAATAATGTTCAAGCAGGATCCAGAAGAGTAAGCACAAAAGACAGCTTTCAGAAAACTCAAAGACATCTACCTAACCATGATGTCCTTGAACTTAAGTTCTGATAACTTATTAAATATAGAGGACAGAAGCCAAATCCAAGGCTTTGTCCGAGGCAGGGAGTCCAACAAGTTCATGTAAAATTGGGACCCCCAAATTACAATAGCCTCCATGAAAAGAGTAAATTAGAAAGGAATCTTCTATGACAGAAGCGGACTGCAATGAAACATGCTTACTTAGACCTTGGCTTTGAGTAGAAGGAAGAAAAAGGTCTCTCCTGAGAATTCACTACCACAAGGCAGCTTTAAAACAAGTTTGCAGCCTGCATTTATGCTATCAGAATGGTCTGAAAACCTTCAACCAAAGAATTTTCTTTGACATAGTCTTGAAGTGCTGGTACCAGAGGTGCTTTCCTACTTCATATTCAAAGGACCTTCCCCCTGCTTCCCTTCCTTGCATTTAGCTCCAGTGACTAGATACCAGGGAAGCCTGAGACTGGAGCTCCATTGACCTTCAGATATTAGATTTTGTAGTTGGCTGAAATATTTTTCAAATATCAGTTTTATCTCAGCCCTTTAAGTAAGCAGTGACTCACTGTGGCTTCAACAATCTTCGGTTTTGACCTGAAGGATACAAGTAGGAGAGGGGAAAAAGAGAGACAGAGAGAAAAGGAGAGAGCTTTTTAATGCCCTACCTATATTCAAAATATTCTTTTTTTTTTTTCAAAATACATTCTAATGATAACACCACCACTCACATACACACACACACACACACACACACACATACACTCCCATAAAGCAGGCCCACTGTGGACTTTAGGGAGGGAGGCCACATGGTATGGATTAAGTGTGTGGTAATTTTGGCAGCAGGATGGAGAGGGGAGCATTCTGACCAGGGCACTGTGACCCCTAGGATAGCCAAAAGAGAAATGGGCCTTAGGGGTCCTCACAGGGCCACTCCCCCTTAACAGCCCTGGAAATGCAGGCTCAGGAATGCCCACTGTTTATGTAAGACTATTAAAATGTAGAATTTTTGGTTTGTTGACTTCAGTGTGTGTACCTGTTACCATGGTTCTATCTCAGCATATCTTTAAATGCCTTGTTTTTGCACTTCTTGGAGTCATTTTTATAATGCAGTGCTAATCCCTTTGCTGGGTCAGCATTAAGGGCATACAATTGATTTTAGAAGCACTGTGCCAGTTGGTGTAATCCCAGAAGCAAGGTGACATGTGTTACATTACATGTGGAGTTGACGTCTTGGCCAACACACATCCTTTGCTCTTTCATTACGTGCTTGTAGCAAGTTGCATATCTTGCATGTATATTCTTGGCTAGACTAGCACAGGTAAGTGTCACCCAGCTCTTCCTGTTCCCAGCCTCAATTTGCTGTTTGGGTGACTGTGGATTTTTCTAGCAGATGACAGTCTTTTTTTCTAAATTTGAAAAAGTCACAAATGACTTTGTTCATTACTATACACCCAGTCCTAGAATTGTGCTTGGCAAATGCTACGCACTCGGTAAGTTTTTTGAACAAGTTATTATGTTGTATGGATTGTAGTTAGATCCCAAGAAGATGTCACTGAGACTAGATATTAGCCTAAGAAGATAAGGGTGGCTAGGCACTAGCATCTTCAACTAAGGTTGAAGAAGAGTTCAGGAGTTGAGTTTTCCCTTTAGTTGGCAGTAAGTTAAGCAAGTGAAGAACAAAAAACCAACTCATATGGTGGGCAGTGTCAACAGATTGGATTCTAGGAAGGGAGCGGTGGGCAGCAATTGGGAGTTTGAACAGCCTGCAGACTGGTGAGTTTCTGGCTAAAATTTGGGAGCCATTTTCAGCAGGTATGGAACAAAATACCCTGCACTAAAAGACCTAAATAAGTGTTCTTTGTCTAAGATTAACACTAAGGCAGAGTATGGGTGGAGCTGGACAGTTCTTAACACCCTATTGTTTTGTAAAGTAAATATTGGGAAACCTTTATTCATTTTGTATGTGTTAATAAAAGTGAACTGCTAATCACAGCATTTGTATCTTTTCTACTAAAATGTGTGAAATATGCCTTTTAGGGAAACACAGCACACATTTTTATTCCTTTTTACCTTCTCTCTATGTGGTTGATTTAGAATCGACTTTGCAAAACAACCTTCGCCATCTCCTAGGCAATTGACAGTGAACAACACTAAAAGGAGAAGGCAGGATAGGGCATTGGATCTTTCCATTAAATTCCTTTCCCTCATCAGTCATGGCTGAGTCTGCCGTATTTGTTTTTCATGGATCATCATTCACCATTTGCATCTCACTGAGTCCAAGTGTTTCTCCATGTATGTTTGTCCCTTATTATCCTCTACTAATGGACAGCTAAAAAGGCTAATTTGTTAGAGAAGTGAATGAAGTATAATGTTATCTATAGATACTGTCTTCTTCACTTCTGTTAATAGAAGCAATATATCACTTCAAAGGGAAGAAAAGACTGGGAGCACTCCATTTGTAATCATACTATGCACACATTCAATTAGCCAGAGGGGAAAAGTGCATATTAGTAGGCAGCCTGGGAGTTTGCTGGAGCAATTAATCAGCTTGATCATCTATAAATAATAGTTTAAATAACTTCCTCATATTGCTCACTTGACTGAAATAGCCAATCAAATTCAAGCAATAGATAGCATCGTTGACCTTTCTAAAAATAGGCTTAATACTACAGTGTTTGTCTTTTACTAAAGTGTTTGTCTGTTACTAAAAACTCTAGGCTATTTATAAGTTTACCAGAATTTTGTGTGTATTTTTAATGGGGAGGGAGAAGGGAAAGAAATTTCAGTAATAACCAAGAACCTGTGGCCTATGTTCCATTCCAGAACAGTGGTATGCTATAGTTTTGTATTAAAGTGTCTTTTTTGAAAAAATTAGGATTTAACTATAATAAATTCTAGTATGCAACATGATAGCAGAAATAAATTGTCAGATTTTGTAGATGAATATGAATTTCATGTTCTTTGGTCCTAATATCACATAATGATTGTTTTTACACAAAAATACCATATGGCTAATGTGGACCCAATCTCCTCAACATTTGTTTGCTGCCTTATGCACACATTTTCATTTATATTTCTTTTTTTATATATGGAGCTTCAAGTGGGATGCCAACAGAGATTATATTTTTGAGGAAGTCAGTGCCCACTCAGAGAGGATCTCAAGCTGGCCTGGGTGTTAATGGTGCTCTAAAACTCTGTATGCATAAGGAGAAGACTTTCATTTGTGGCCTTAGTTGTCACCAAGAGACTATTGTTAATTTTGCTTAAAAGCTCTTCTGTTGTGTTTAGGTGGATTTTCAATATAAAGAGAAGAAAAACAAGTCAAGAACAAGTTTGACCAAACTCTTAATATTTGGCTCTATCAGGAGTTTCATCTCCATTTTGTAGCCTCAACTAATCCTCCCCAGCTTCTTGCCAGAGATTTCTTAAGTCTTGAGACTTACAAAGATGCTGGCAAGAAACTGCCGTGCATCAGCAGGAACAGGTTGCAAAATGAAGACAAAGCCTCTGGCAAGACAGGAGAGGATTAATAGAGGCCAGGTCATAAAATGGAGATGAAGCCCCAATGGTGAAAGATCACTGTGGTCACAGTACAGATGCAAATACAAGGTGTTCCTCCATTCGGGGAGTCATGTGGGGTGAGCCATTGGGCCCAGTTGTCCAGGGGAACAATTGGGAACAGCAGGCCAGGGCTATCCTTTGCCAGGGGAAGTTAAAAGCTTTTTAGAACTGGGAGTGCTCAGAACAATCTCTGGATGCAGTTCACACCTCCACTCTGATAAGGAGTGTGAGACCAGATGGAAAAGCACTACTGGGTCAGAGAATGAAAGTAAATTCTAGAGAAGATACCAGAAAGATTTGGTTAAGTACCATTTAGTGGCATAAAATCTGTGACAGGGGTACTAACTGTGTTCCTAATATTGGAGTATTTTAGCCTTGCACTATTAAGGTGGGGTCCTTGGCTTTGACCCCACCTCTCTCCCTTCCTGTCTCCTCCCACATCCCACTAGGTCCTCGTTTACTGCTGCCTCCCCTCCTCCTGCCTGCCCCTGCCCTGTCCCCTCGCCTTCCTCCTCCTCCCATTTAAAATGTAACTCCCAATAGCTTTATCAAGGGCTACTTACATACTTCCAATGTTGAGTAAGAGGCTCCCCAAAGAATAGAAAAAAATATACTTTAATTCCAGCATCTAGTTGCTTCAGAAACAGCTGCGTAAATTGAATCTACCAAAGCTGGACTTAATAATGTTGCTCTTGTTTATGTGTTGGGAACATTTTAGTTGGGGCTTTTGTTAATTCATTACATGCAGCTGGGGGAGGAAATGGCATTATTATTTAACTTGTCCATAATGTATCTTTAAATATGAAAAAAAATTGAACCTATGAATACAAATAATCAGAACTCTCATCCTTTCTTTAGAGTTACGAAAAAAAAATGAAAAAGAAAGAAGAAAAGAGACTTAAGTATAATAATCTTCTACAGGTAATACTATATAAAGCCTATAAAACACGGCCACCACACAAATACATGCCATGAGTGCTGCAGTCACGAGAAAAGATTCCTCCCATGTTTACTGCAGTTGATTATGGCAAAGCACCAACATGTATTTTGTACCTTAACCTCACCTGTGTCCTTACACACCCCCACAGAAAGAATGCCTTCTTACTGATGTATCACTGTGGGACACATCCTGTCTCGGGTATAAGGTAATGGTGTGCCAAAATTAACACATACTAGAGTTAAGAAAACTAAAGCAAAGTGTTAGAGGGAGCTAAAGTGATAAGTTATACCTCAATCTTTATAATGAATTCACTTAATTTACTTTTATGAGTCTCTGTGAATATGTTGTGCTAGGGCTGCCTTATATTTTAGGATCTAGGTTTCTTATTTCAAAACATTTATTAATTCCATAAGAAAAGGGATCACTTATAAAGATTACTGAGAAATAGTTTTGATCTTCTCTAGCAGTTAAAAAACTCAATTCAGATCGCCATCATCCCACAGCTTATTTTATTCCATTTATCTACATACATCAATCAGGAATTTTAGGAAGAACTTCATAGTTGAGTGTGAACTAATTCCTGCAAATGATTTGCTGCTTTTTGGTGTGGGTGTGGGTGTCCCTGGCACCTTGGGTAGAGAGTTGAATTCATCATACTGGTTACTTGATAGCAATTATCATCACTACAGGGCCCTGCTTTTGTTTCTGTCTTTTTACTTCTTTGTCCATCACCACTCTCCATTCCCATTAATTATGTTCTTAGTTACTCATATGCCCTTTAAAATATAGTGTGTTATTTTGTGGACTCTACATAAGAGATATGTTCCATTTACATAGGTGATATGCTAAGGTTCTCATTCTGTTTCTTACATTTACTTGACTTTATGCTTTTAAGATCTTTCATATTTGGTTGTTAATCCTGATTGCCATGTGGGGTTCCATAGCGGGCATCCACCACGTTTGTCTTTTCATTCCCATGACGATAAACATCGAAATTGTCTTAGC